CTGGCCCCAGGGCCGCGCAGCCCGACCGCCTGACCGGAAGTGCAGCACCCGGAATTACTGGGAGCTTGCCGTAGTTCCGCTTGCTGTCGCCTAGGGGCGCGGTTCTCAAACTTTTTGGTGTCAGGCCTAGAATTTGCGGGGTAAAATGCAGGACGCCCAATGAAATGTGACTTTCAGGTAAACGACGAACAATTGTTTTTAGCGTGAGTGTATTTCATGCAATAATGGTTTATCTGAGAGGAGTTTAACTGGGAGTCCTGTATTTTTATGTGCTAAATCTGGCAATCCAGGTCTGGCGTGGTGGCTCACGCTTGCAATCCCAGCACTTTGGGAGACCAAGGCTGGCGGATTACTTGAGCTCAGGAGTTCGAAATCAGCCTGGCCAACATGGTGAAACCCCTTCTCTACTAAAAATACAAAAGTTAGCCAGGCTCAGTAGTGGCGGGCTCCGGGGTAATCCCAGCTACTCTGGAGGCTGCGGCAGAAGAATCTCTTGAGTGCGGGAGGTAGAGCCTGCAGTGAGCCAAGATCATGCCATTGCACTTCAGCCTGGAGGATAGAGTGAGACTCTGACTCAAGAAAAAAAAAAAATCTGGCAATCTTTCTCAGGACCCCTTTACACTCTTAAAAATTATAATTTGGACATGCCCCTACATCTCCCCCCAACCCATACTTTTGTTTAGTTGAATTCAGAGCATGCCATTTACGGACATCGACAAGGGATTCAGAAAATGCCATCCACTGACATTTATGTTTTAGAAATTGAAATTGAGACATTTTACAGCCTAAGATGTCAAGCGCACATTCTTCAGCCATTGGGTAATATCGTTGCAAGTCCCTTGTACTCTGAAGAGTATACCGATTAGAGAATGTGGAGAAAATTGAATAACTGGCTGTTATTCAATTCAAAACTGTTGGAAAACAGTTTTGGCTCTGAGGACCCAGCAGTTGACAAACAGCGGGCCTGGGACAAGCGCAGTATGAGAAGTCAGATCGCCTCTTTTAATGTCACTAGTCAGTACAGGCCTCGCCAGACAAGTCTCTCCTCAGCCTCACTTGGAAGAGCATGTCCTCTCTTCATGATCCTGCGTTTCCTAGACTTAGTATCCTTGGAAAAGTCTTGATGAGTATATTGTGGTGGGAAGCAATGGGGAGAAACAAATGCCTATTATGTCACAAAACCACATTTAGTGCTTATGACAACCTTGGAATGAGATATTATCAGATTTTACTGTTAATTGGTGATCAACAGAGGCACTTCTATGTGAACTGGCTATTATAGCTGCTGCCGTTGGCACCAATTTCGAGGAGGACTTTGGAGCAGCCCTCTGCGGTGTGGGTTGTGGCTCAGTCATCCCCCCTCTAAATCTGTTTCCGTAACAGTAAAAATAAGTTTCCAGGACTCTTATGGGGATTAGGGCCAACTGTAAAAGTGGTTGAGGAGACTAGGTGAAGTGTTTAGAGCCTGCCATCCCAAAATATGCCACTTTGGCATATTGATTCTTCTGAGCCAGGGCCAATGGAGCAAAAACAGATGCAGGGAAGGCTCTCTGACCACCCTCTTTCTGTTTGAGGCAGAACATAAAAGTTCCCTTATGAAAGGTGCCCTTTCTGTACCAGGAAGAGGAGAATATTATTGCTAGAGGCAGAGTTGCCACTGAGATGAATCTACAAACAAAACCTTACAAAAATTTGTAACCTATATTTTCCATTAACTTTCCACATACAATTCTTAGTCACTTTCCCACAATTTGCCAGCCTTAGCCCAAGCCCCTTTGTCGTGTCACATCCCTGCAATTTATTGTTCTTTGTTTAAAAGGACATATAAGCTTTTGGGCCTAGTAACTTCTACGGGTCTTTATTTTTCTTACAAAGTCTCCTGTGCATGTATAAAAACATTAAAACTTTTATGTCTTTTCTGGTAAATCTGTCTTATATTAGTTTAATTCCCATGCCCAGCCACAGAACCAGAGGTGAGAAGAGGCCAGGCATAGTGGCTCATGCCTGTAATCCCAGCACTTTGGGAGGCTGAGGCAGGTGGATCGCCTGAGGTCAGGGGTTCAAGACCAGTCTGGCCAACATAGCGAAACCCCATCTCTACTAAAAATACAAAAAATTAAATGTGTGTGGTGACAGGCACCTGTAATCCCAGCTACTCAGGAGGCTGAGGTGGGATAATCACTTGAACCCAGGAGGCACCTGGGCAACAGAGTGAGGGACTCTGCCAAAAAAAAATAAAAAATACATGGTGGGAAAGTTTTTCCTCACCTACAGTGTGAGGAAATCTAGGCTCTTGATTTCCATGCTCCTGAATGTCTCTCCATTTGGGAACATATACCTCTCCTTGCAGCTTATCTGCAAGAGACTCCCTCTCATTCACTGAAAACTTTGGCCCATAGCTCACCAGCTTCCTCTCCAATACAGTACACTGCCATGGATCAGATCAATATCCACATGTACAATTGTCCCTCAGTATCCATGGAGGATTGATTCCAGGACTCCCGATGATACCAAAATCCACAATCCACAGATGCTCAAGTCCCTTATATAAAATGGCATAGAATTTGCATATAACCTATGCGCACCCTCCTGTGTGCTTTAAATCATCTCTAGATTACATATACCAAATATGAAATAAATGCTATATAAATAGTTCCTATATTGTATTGCTTTATTTTTATTATCATATTGTTCATATTTATATTTATCTATTTTTGAGAATATTTTTGGTCTGTGGTTGGTTGAGTTTGTGGATGTGGAACCCATGGCTGTGAAGGGCCAACTGAATAACCACCCAACAGCAGGCTTCTCAATTCTTCCTCATCCCACTCATCTTCATCCTTTATCCTTGTCAGCTCCCCTGTCCCTGGCTGCTGTATCCTCTAATCTTCTTAAATGATTAAGAAGATTTACATTTTTTTCCTTGCAAGTCTTTTTTTTTTTTTTTTTTTGAAATCGTGCTTCCTTTTGAATACTTAATTCACACTGTTTCCTCTCTTGGATGCTACTATGGTAACAATCAGGTCCCCACCTCTCAAGAACATTGCATCTGACCAGCTGAGAGCCAGCGTGAGAGCCAGCGTGAGAGCCAGCCTGAACATGGGCCCCAAACCAGGGTTTTTGGAATAACAAGGAACAGCAAAAACCAGCCTTTCCCTTCACTTAGAAAGGAAGTATGAATAGGAGGGCCCCCATCTCCACTGTCCAAACAGAAAACCAAGAGTTCAGTGCCAACATGGAAAACAAAATGTATCAGGAATGAAGTACAGTACCCCCTCACATACTCAAGGTCAAAATGGGTTTGGGGAAATACTTATTTGACCATCTGGCCTCTTCTAGTAGGCATGGCCCCATACCAGCATTTTTAAAAGAAGGTATTTTCATTCTTCTTACATTTCCTAAAGGGGTATAAAATCTACTAAAAGAGATACAATAACTCAGAGTAAATCAGCTCACTCAAAAGAATCATTCCTGGATAATCATTTTTGGTTGCTGAGATTATTCAGCACATTACTTCAAAGTGGCAAAATACAGGGCAATCTGAGAAAAGAGAATTAAAAAGTGGTGGCCACATTTGCTGACATGTTTATGTAGGACACACATAACACAACTCCCATTTTTTTCAGTGTGTATGTCAAGAGCCTAAGATCCCTGATCATCAAAATAAGTTATTTTGTGCATTACAGTACACAGGACAACAGAGGGAATGACACTTTCTTGGAGGGTGTTGCAGGAAGTCAGGGACCCCGAACAGAGGGACCAGCTGGAGCTGTGGCAGAGGAACATAAATTGTGAAGATTTCGGCCAGGCGCAGTGGCTCACACCTGTAATCTCAGCACTTTGGGAGGCCGAGGCAGGTGGATCACCTGAGGTTGGGAGTTCAAGACCAGCCTGACCAACATGGAGAAACCCCATCTCTACTAAAAATACAAAAAATTAACCAGGTATGGTGGTGCATGCCTGTAATCCCAGCTACTAGGGAGGCTGAGGCAAGAGAATTGCTTGAACCCTGGAGGCAGAGGTTGCAGTGAGCCAAGATTGCAGCACTGCACTCCAACCTGGGCAACAAGAGAGAGACTCCGTCTCAAAAAAAGAAAAAAATTGTGAAGATTTCATGGATATTTATCAGTTCCTAAATAATACTTTTATAATTTCTTATACCTGTCTTTACTTTAATCTCTTAATCCTATTATCTTTGTAAACTAAGGATGTATGTCACCTCAGGACCACTGTGATAATTGTGTTAACTGTACAAATTGATTGTAAAACATGTGTGTTTGTACAATATGAAGTCAGTGCACCTTAACAAAGAACAGAATAAGTGATTTTTAGGGAACAAGGGAAGACAACGATAAGGTGTGGCTGCCTGCAAGGTTGGGCAAAAAGAGCCACATTTTTCTTCTTGCAGAGAGCCTATAAACAGATGTGCAAGTAGGAGAGATATCACTAAATCCTTTTCCTAGCAAGAAATATTAATATTAATACCCTGGGAAAGGAATGCATTCCTGGGGGGAGGTCTGTAAACGGCTGCTCTGGGAGTGGCTGTCTTATACAGTTGAGATGAGGACTGAGATACACCCTGGTCTTCTGTGGTACCTTCAGGCTTACTAGGGTGGGAAAAACTCTGCCCTGGTAAATTTATGGTCAGACTGGTCCTCTGCTCTCGAACCCTGTTTTCTGTTATTTAAGATATTTATCAAGATAATACGTACACCACTGAACATAGACCCTTATCAGTAGTTCTGCTTTTGCCCTTTGCCTTGTGATCTCTGTTAAACCCTTATTAGTAGTTCTGCTTTTTGCCCTTTGAAGCATGTGATCTTTGTACTTACTCCCTGTTCTTACACCCCCTCCCCTTTTTAAAACCCTTAATAAAAACTTGCTGATTTGAGGCTCAGGAGGGCATCATGGTCCTATGTATATGTGATGTCACCCCCAGTGGCACAGCTGTGAAATTCCTCTCTTTGTACTCTTTATTTCTCAGCCAGCCAACACTTATGGAAAATAGAAAGAACCTATGTTCAAATATTGGGGGTGGATTCTCCCAACAGGAGGTGACTGAAAGGCACTGTGCAAAAGGCCTATATCACTCTGTAGTGGAAGGACTGGAGCCCAGTGCCTTGTGGCCTTCATTAACTTGTCCCCACCTCTTCTTTGGTTGCAGTGGCCTCAGTGGGAGCAGTTTCTTCTATGTGTTCTGCTGACTTCTCCTCTTCCTCCTCCTCATCCTCTTGGGGATACAGGTGCAGGTATTTCTACATGCATTCCTGCATGACCCAGAATTGTTCTACACAGTCTTTCCCCTTGAGATCCCCTGCACTATAGTGGAAGCAGAAAAAGGCCAACTTGAACTGTTCCCCACAGGGACCACTGGCCATGCCCCCAAGGCATGGGCAGTTCCAGTTAATGTCTTCATTTGGCAGCATCAATCCGTACTGAGTATGGATCACTGGGGTCATCAGCCACCAGCTCTACATTGCTTGGAGTTTTATGGTCATCTTTGGTCACAAGTATGATTCCATCCTTCCCTTCCTGCTGGCATAGGACATGGCTGCAGCATACAGACCAGTGCTTAGACTTTGCAGAAGCGGCCACAGCAGCTGCCCCATTTTTTTTTACAACCTTTTAAAATTAAGTATGATACACATACTCTAAAGTGTACAACTCATATGTGTATAGTTTAATTATCACAAAGCAATGACACCCAGGCAACCAAATCAAGAAATAGCCATTACCACCAGAAGTCCCCCTCTTGTCCTTTATGGAGAATCAACCGCTGTCCTGACTTCTAACACCGTAGATTTTGTAGATTCCCTTTATGAGTTAGGGAACTTCTTTTCTATTCCTGTTTTTATCATGAATGTGTTTAATTTTATCAAATGGCTTTCTCTACAAGATGATCATGTTTTTTTTTCCCTTTATTAATGTGTGGATTACATAGACAGATTTCTGAATGTTAAATTAACATTGCAATTCCTGGAATAAACCCAACTTGGTTGTGATGTATTTTATCCCTTTTACATATTGCTAGGTTTGGTTTACTACTATTTTGTTTAAGATTTTTACATCTATGTTCATAAGTGACACAGACTTACAATTTTTCTGTCTTGTAATATCTTTGTTGAGTTTTTTAGCATCAGACTGTGATAGCCAAAGTGAGAACTTTGGATTTTATTTTCAGTGTGACAGGAAACTATTTGAGGTTTTCATATAGTGCTGATAAGAAAAAAAATCTCAGATATTAAGAGGGAAAGAAAGCAATTTAGAAAACAGCACAGAATAAGATCACTTTGTGTAAATTAGAAACTTGTGTGTGTGTGTGTATGTGTGTTGCATTTTTTAAGTTGTTAGAACTAAAACTAAGAATTATTGACAATTGATGTTAACAGGGGTGATAAGGGAGTTTTGATTTTGTGTTGTTTGACATTTTTTCACCATGTGTATGCATTACTTTTATTTAAAAACATAAACAAGAAGAGAAAGTATCAAATGGAAAAGAAGAAAATAAGGGCAGTTTGTTGACCCTAAAACTCTCTCCCAGCCAGAGACAGTAGTGCATAGTTGACAGTACCTGGTTTGAGGGCTGGCCACTGGACCTTGTCTCTGAAGCTCAGTTCATCTGGAAAGTGAGGATGATATTGTCCACCTTAGGGCTGTGTGAAGATTTCATCAGTTACTGTGCTTGGGCCATAGTTCTGATTCAAGTAATGGGGATTCTCCAAGCAGCTGTAGCTACAGTATGACAAAATTATTGTGAGTATGTATTAGAACATAGCATAACAGTAGTGTATGTGAGGACAAATGAGGACTACTAAGTAGAGAAGAAGGTGACTGGGGGGTCAAATGGGGAAGGGAGGGAAATGGGTAGGAGAAAAGAACTTAAGAAGGCACTGTAGTGAAGGCTGTAACTCAACCCCCTGCCCCCTCAGCTGGTACCTCAGGAAGAACAGGAGCCACAGTAGGCCTGGCCAGGAGAGAGTTCACAGACTGACAAAATATCTTAGTCCATTTGTGTTGCTGTAACAAAATACTTGAGAATGGGTAATTTATAAAGAACAGAAA